GAATAGTATCGAAAAACAAAAAAATGTGAAAATGACTCGGTCCTTAAAGAAGTTGTCAATCCAAAGGAAAGAGTCTCAGAAACCATTTCCGAGCACTCAAGATGACACCAAGTGACAAGAAACCGAACTCAGAAAAGAAATTTCAATGAAAAAAAAAATTCATCCATAAAATCCTGAGGAAAAAGGAAGGGAAGGAAATGACCGAGTCATTACAATTTAAGAGGAAACAAACTTAGGTAGAGAGGACTAGGGAAGTGAATCAACTACCAACCCTATAAACATGCTAGCTTATGATTAACTTGGGAAACAAATTAAATAAATAGCAATGATAGGTAGCAATACAAGATTACTACATTATCTTCAAGAAGTTCATAGAATCAAAAGTTAAGTATAATCCCTCAAAGTTTCACATGCTTGAACTACCTAAATTAGAGTGTAGCTATGACATGCTCACTAAGCTAGGGACTATCAAACCCCTCAATCACTATGGTAATAGGACAGGAAGTCAAGAACCAAGAAAAATCCATCAAAGGGAGGCCCTAAGCCATGGACTAACAAGTTTCTCATACAACATGCCAATAAACCCATTTCACAATCTTATTTCCATTGTCACTATGAAAATGCAAGCCATACAATCATGAGAAAATATAATGTAAGACAAGATAATAGATTCAACATACTCATTTATAGAAATTTAGGTCCATTACATCAAGTGTAAAGCTCTTGATTATGAAAATACCATATACACACTTCATTCCCCAAATTAAATAAAACTAAAGCATGCTTACAAGGAAGGGCTTTATCACCTCCCTAGAAAGGGAGTTAGTTACCCATAAAAGCAATGGAAGATGGAGTAGAAAGAGTCTTACCGTCCATTTTCACACCTAGGAGCCACAATACACACAATCCTCAAGAACACAATATTTCTCTCATTAGAAAATCCTTACAATGTGAGATATGTTATTACAATGGTTCAAGCCTTTTATAAAGCAAAAATATCTTTCCAACCACTCTAAATTCGTGGTCCAAAATCCCTAAAGAAGTGCAGAACAATCCCTTGAATCATAGCTATAACATTGGGTGAAACAATACAGCCCATGCTTTGTTGTTTGCAAATTGGCGGGCGCCCGCAGCACAGGGCGAGCACCCGCAAAGTGTCGCAGGTGGGCTTCCACGCTTTGGCAATGGGGCACTTGGGGCTTGACGATGGCACTTGGCATGGGCCCACAATGCATGGCAGGGCCCCGCAAAATCTGAAACCTACTGGACTATAGCGGGCGCCCGCAGTGCATGGCGGGCGCCCGCATTTCTCCTGGGCACATATTTGCTTCTTAAAATGACTTTGGCTCGGCCCGATGATGCTGTCATCCTCCTTAGTACTTTTTACAGAGAAAACTATGAGTTCAATGGATCACTGGCTTGGCCAAAATGAAGGTCCCCGGCAACGTCATGCTTTGATCTTCAAGAACTCATCAAAGCCTCACTTTTAACTATTTTTTGGGAACCAACCTGAAAGTAAACAAAAACATGCAAATGAAGCTAATGTATACAATATGATCAACTAATGGACTTAACTAATGCAAATAAGGGCGTTTGAATAAGCAATATTCGGCGTTTATCACATCAGTCATGTTTGGGGAAACATGTCACTCTTTCTAGGACGGAGGGAGTATATTATATACTCGAAAAAGATGAAAAGAAAGATATATCTATAGTATTATTAAATGTGTAAAGAGTTTCAGTGTTTCAGTATTTATTTATTTAAATAAAAAAATATTTATTAATTGATATAAAAGTTACAATATAACCGGCCCGGCCCAGTTATGATTATGTCATTATCAAGAGAGGACATATGTCATCATCCTATTAATCTAAGAAGTATATAAATAGATGCATGGAGGAATGAGGAAGGGGTACAGAAATTGAGAATTTTAGAAATCCAGAATTTCAGAGTAAAATACAGAAGTTCTGCCAAAGAATTTTAGAATTTATTTATTTATATAAAAAAATATTTATTAATTTATATAAAAAGAGTTTTTATCTATACTATTATTAAATGTGCAAAGAGTTTCAGTATTTATTAATTGACATGAAAAGAGATTTTTTTTTTTTTTTTTTCAAAAAAAAAAAAACTCTCTAAAACTCTTAAATCTACCTAATAAAATTTAAATTAACTTATTTATCTATTTATTGTTATGATTTTTTTTAATAAAAGAAAATCTAATTAGACAAGAATAATTAATATAAAAAATATTTATTAATTGATATATAAAATAAAGTAATTTTTATAAAACTCTACCACAAATTAGCTTCTTTTTTTGAGTTTCTTAATAAAATTAAATTTAATTAGACAATGATATATTTAAAGAAAATAAAATAATTTCTACAAAATTCTATCACAAATTACCTATTTATTTTCAATAAAACTCTATCACACCAGACAAAGATATATTTAAAGAGTTTTTATAAAACTCTAATACAAATTACCTATTAATTATGATTTTTTAATAAAAGGAAAACTAATTAGACAATAATTTATTAATATAAAAAATTGTGTATTAATTGATACAAAAATAGGTTTTAAAAGAGTTTCTATAATTTTTTTTTTTTTTTTTTCCCTGAGTAAAAATGGAAAATTTTATAAATATAACAAGAGAATACAAAAAACAACAAGGGCATCCCCTTGGTCAACACAAGCTGTAACCACATAAAGAACACTTAAAACGTAAGTAAAAAGGCATCTAGCTAAGCAAAGAGGAGGATCCAATCCCCCCCCCCCCCCCCCCCCCCCCCGGTCCATATCAGAAATTATTAAAGCTTCTCCACAAATAGCTTGACCAATTGAATAGCATCTCCATGTCGCCCCTTGGTGAAGTTTATTGTTCCCCTCATCCCATAAGAACCATATAGTTGTAGTACAAATTCTCTTCTGGACTTTGTGTATAAATTTTTGTTGCACAAACCAAGCAATGAGATTACCTAAGGTTTCAAACTGAGGCATGTTCCAGCCAAACAAATTTGACAGCTAGTGCCAGACAGTTTCAGTGAATGTATAGGTGACAAACAAGTGATCCAAATCATTTTTAGCTTGAACACAATTATGGCAAATGGCCACTAGAGGCAAACCTCTCTTTTTCAAATTAACAAAGCACAATAGTTTGTTTTGGATAGCAAGCGAACAAACCATAGAAGCGCTAGGTCTCGATCCACACCAGCAAATTGCAAACCAGTCTACAACTGGGTAATGAAATCTCCATCTATCCCACATAGCTTTAAGAGAAAATTGACCATTTCTCCACAAAAACTGGTCACAACCCTGCTTAATAGACAAAGATAGAGCAAAGTTTCTAAATTGCAACACTGAACTGGAATTAGTGGAAGGGAACTGCCACTGTCCATCCCGAATAATTGCAGCCAACAGTGCTTGTTTTGGAAGTCCAAAGTCTCTATAAACTCTGTCCCCCAATCTATTCTGCAAACATTCTCCTTGTAACCAAGGATCAGTAAAGAGAAAAATGGTATTACCATTACCAATCTGGAATTCCACATTCGAGAGCATGAAGTCTTTCACTTCCAGCATCCTTCTCCACAGCATAGAATCAGTGGACTTAAAATGATAATTCCAGTATGACACTACCCTAGTGTATTTCCATTTGAACCAAGCCACCCAAAGATAATCTTTGGATTGAAGAAAGTGGATGCCATATTGAAGTCCTCTATCCGTCTCACCCCAAATCCACCTTCATTTTTTGGTCGTGTCACTTTATTCCACCCTAAAACATGTAATTTCCTATGCTCAGAACTTGATCCCCGCAAAAAATCCCTCATTTTCTTCTCCATGTATTTTATCACAGCCTTTGGTAAAGTAAAAATAGAACACCAGTAATACACAAAGGAAGTAAGCACAGATCTTACCAGTTCAACCCTTCTAGCCAGTGATAAACTTTTGCCATTCCACATATTTATTCTGTTATTGAACTTGTCCAGTAGCTTACCATAATGAATCCTCCTTAGTCCAGTAGGCAACAAAGGGAGACCCAAGTAAGTGACAGGGAAAGATCCCAAATTGCATTGGAATAATCTTCTCAATTTTCGTCTTCTACTTATAGATTTGGTGAAAAAAACAGTACTCTTCTTTGGGTTAACCTTCAAACCTGAGATGTTTGCAAATTTAGTCAAAGCAGCTTGCAAGTTCTTTATAGTGTGGATATCAGCCTGGAGAACAGCCAACAAGTTATCAGTAAAAAACATATAAGAAACCTTCAGCCCTGCCTTGATAATTTTCTTAGGAAGATGAACTTTATCTTCCCTAACCAGAATAGCCATTTGGTTGGAAAAGTGTTCAGTAACCAATGTGAACAGAAGAGGAGATAAAGGGCAGCCTTGTCTCAATCCCTTTCTAGGTTAAAAGAAGCCACATGGGGAGCCATTGACAAGAATAGAAAACTAAGTAGAGGAAAGGCATTCCATTACCCAGTTAATCCAATTTGCACCAAAACCATAAGAGATAAGGAGCTTCTCTAAGAAATCCCACTGGACTAAATCATAAGCTTTCTGTAAATCCACCTTCAGAGCAAACAAGGGAGAGCAAGTTTTCCTAGAGAAACCATTTAAGAGCTCATGTGCTAAAATAATATTGTCTTGGATTCTTCTTCCTTTAATGAATGCAGTTTGCTCACCTCCCACCAGTTGTGAGACAACCCCACACAGTCTAGTAGCCATGATCTTAGCGATAACCTTATACACTACATTACATAGGGCAATAGGCCTGAAGTCCTCCACCCCACACTGTCAGTGTTTTTTGGAAGCAGAGTAATAAAGGAGCTATTAATTGATTTAGAGAGCTTACCATTAGCAAAGAAAAATTGTACAGCTTGACTGAGATCCTTACCAATGATGTGCCAATATTATTGAAAGAACCTTGGGGGAAAACCATCTGGGCCAGGTGCCTTGTCAGGTCCCATGGCTTGAACAGCCTCATTAACTTCCTGTTCACTGCATTACCTTTCTAATAACATTGTTTTTGCCAAAGTTAATTTTCTTCGAGGATTATCAACATTGAGCTCCTCATCTCTTCTATTTTCAGAAGCATATAATCCCTGATAATAGTCCACCAGTCTTGTTTTAATGTCATCTTGATTTTGTATCAGATTTCCCCTATCATAATGCAACATTGTAATTGCATTATTAGCCCTATGTTGTACCATCCTCCTATAGAAGAATTCAATACATTTGTCATTATCTTTGAGCCATCGGGTTCTAGACTTTTGAGCAATTAATATCTCTTCATTAGCTAAGGCCAACTCTAAGTCTCTCCTAGCTTTAGCTTCCTTTGCAATCACATTGGAGTCCATAGGTTGGTGCAACATTTTCATTTGAATTTCCTCTAACTGAGTTCTAGCTGCATAAACTTGAGCATGTATAGACCCAAATTTATTAGTATTCCATACCTTCCTTAACTTCTTAACTTTCCTCAATTTCATGGTAAAACTATAAAGAGGATTGCCGCCTATATGACTCTGCCATGCCTTAGTGATAATATCTTCAATGCCTTCCTGCATTTGCCATACCTTTAAGAACTTAAAAGGTTTAGGACTGGATTCCATAACCACACCTATTTGAGAAACGATTGCGTAATGGTCTGAAAGGGATGCAGCAGTTAGGTAAATGTTAGAATTGGGATAAGTTTGTAACCATCTCAAGTTATCCAGGCCCCTATCTAACTTTGAATAAATCCTATGAGTGTCATCTTGTCTGTTACACCATGTTAATTTGCCATTAATCATAGGAAGATCAGTTATTCCAATCCCATGCATTGTATTATTAAACTCATCCAGAATTCTTTGTGGAACTTGGTTTCCACCAATTTTCTCCCCATGTTCTCGGATTGTATTCAAGTCCCCCATAATTAACCAGGCCTATCAACACAGTTGGAGAAAGTTTTTAGTGTGGACCACAATTGCTTTCTTTCCACCTTAGAATTAGCTGCATAAACTGAAGACAACCAAGATACAGTGGAGGTCTCTAAATATTGAACTTTCAACAGCATAGCTTGTGAACTGGCATCTATCAAAGTGATATCAACCTTCTGTGGATCCCAACTAATCCATATTTTACACGGGAAATGATGGTCATAGTTATTAATCCATGTCCATCTGTTATTAATTTTCTTCATAATAGCATCAAATTTGCCTACTCTAACTCGAGTCTCAAGCAAACATACAGCAAAAAGAGAGTTCTGACCCATCCAAAACCTTACCTCTTTCTGCATCTATGGCCTATTCAAGCCCCTTACATTCCAGCAACCAATCATGAAATTGGTGGGTTGGAAGTAAGCCCTTCCATGGCCACCATGTTCCTCGTAACCTTTGGAGTCACTTGCACATCTATTTTCTTTCGGTTCTTCTTCTTCTTGGTACTTGCAGACATATTGCTAATATCTTCTGATTCTACAGTGTCCTCACCCACATCAATAACCTTATCAACCCCTAGCATATTGAAAGAATTTGATACCTGCATTTCTGGTTGAGTCCTTGGGTCAAGCACCTGGTGTGTATCCGGCACTTGAATCGTATTCACCACTGAATCAGCTGCTATTTCAGTATTCTCCCTTACGGGTTCTTCCTCCATGATGTCATGTTTCGAATTCTCCCCTACCAATATGGGTAATGTTTTTGAGGCATCGTCCTCCATAATAATTTCGTTGCCCTTTTGCTTAATCTTCCAAACCTATTTTGCTTCATTCCTCTTCTGTAATTTCTTAGTTGGACATGTTTTTGCACCATGGTCAATGCCGTGACAAAGAGAACATATTTGGGGCTTCCAGGCATATTCAATTCGTATCCATCACTTAGTACCATGTGTCATAAATTCAAGTTCAGTAGGCAAATCTTCATGAACGTCAACCTCTACCATGACTCTAACATAAGCACCACGGTCCCGTGCCATAGACACTTCATCCATCCTAATTGGTTTGGAAAAAGGAGAACAAATCTTTGATACAGAGGACGGACCCCGGTAATGCATAGGAACATTGAATAATTTGATCCAAATTGGTACTGAACCCAATACTTCCTTCTCCAGGTCGACATTCTTGTCCCACTTTTTTCAAGATCATTGGTCGTCCTTTAAAGGTATGAATACGAGATAAAACTTTCTCCAATTCTTGCACCAAGGCGAATCTGACCATAAAGTATCCATCATGGAGCGTAACAAGTTTGATTTCCCCCACTGGTTTCCAAACATTCTGTATAAACGATTTACTTTGTGGTAGTATGGGCGTTTTCCTATTACATAACCCACTAATGAGTTTTCCTAGACCTCCTTGGCAACATCTTCATCATCAAGTATCAATATTGGATCTAACGCCGGCTTCGATATATATTGTAGGTTTGAGAAAGAAGCAGAAACAGAATCTTGGAATAAAACACTCCAAGGTTTCCGAAGGGTAGAAGAGGGGTGGGGATTAGACGCCCCCACAGGCATCGAGGAGGAGGGTAGTCCCTCCTCCATTGAAAACGTGCAAAACCTAAGTGCAAACCCTAGTTCACCCCACAGAGAGAGAGAATATTAGTTTCTATAAAATTCTAACACAAATTACCTATTTATCAATTTATTATGAGTTTTTTTAATAAAAAGAAATATAATTAGACAAGAATTATTAATATAAAAAATATTTATTAATCGATATAAAAAGAGTTTTTAAAAGAATTTCTATTAAACTCTACCACAAAGTACCTATTTATTTATTTATTATAAGTTTTTAATAAAAAAAATCTAAATAGACAATAATTATTAATATAAAAAATATTTTTTAATTGATATAAAAAATAAAATAATTTTTCTAAAACTCTACCACAAATTACTTTTTATTATGAGTTTTTTTTTTCTAATAAAAGATAATCTAATTAGACAAGAATTATTAATATATAAAAATATTTATTAATTCATATAGAAAGAGTTTTTAAAAGATTTTCTATAAAACTCTAACACGTATTACCTATTTATCTATTTATTATGAGTTTTTAATAAAAGAAAATATAAATAAACAAGAATATATTCAAAGAAAATAAAATTTTGTTTCTATAAACTCTAACACAAATTACCTATTTATTATGAGTTTTATAATAAAAGGAAATCTAATTAGACAAGTATTATTAATATAAAAAATTATTTGTTAATTGATATAAAAAGAGGTTTTAAAAGAGTTTCTATAAAACTCTAACACAAATGACCTATTTATTATGATTTTCTCTAATAAAATGAAATCTAATTAGACAAGAATTATTAATATAAAAAATATTTATTAATTGATATAAAAAGAGTTTTTAAAAGAGTTTCTATTAAACTCTAACACAAATTACATTTTTGGTTATTTATTATAAGTTTTTAACAAAAGAAAATCTAATTAGACAAGAAATATTAATATAAAAATATTTTTAATTGATAAAAAATAAAATAATTTTTCTAAAACTCTACCACAAATTATGTTTTATTATGAGAGTTTTTATTTTATTTTTTATTTTTTTTAATTTTTAAATAAAAGGTAATCTAATTAGACAAGAATTATTAATATATAAAAAAAACATTATTAATTCATATAAAAAGAGTTTTTAAAATATCTTCTATAAAACTCTAACACATATTACCAATTTATCTATTTATTAATAGTTTTTTTTTAATATAAGAAAATATAATTAAACAAGAATATATTCAAAGAAATTAAAAAATTTGTATAAAATGTACCACAAATTAGCTAACTCTAAAATCTACCTAAAAAAATTCAAATTAAACTATTTATCTGTTTATTATTAAGAATTTTTTACTAAAATAAAATCTAATTCGATAAGAATTATTAATATAAGGTTTTTATTTTATTTTTTTTATTAATTGATATATAAAATAAAATAATTTTTCAAAAACTCTACCAGAAATTAGCTTTAATTATGAGTTTCTTACTAAAATGAAATCTAATTAGACAAGGATATATTTCAAGAAAATAAAATAATTTCTATAAAACTCTATCACAAATTACCTATTTTTTTTTCTAATACTCTACCACAAATTAGCTTTTTTTTTTTTTATGAGTTTTTAATAAAAGAAAATCTAATTAGACAAGTATTATTAATATAAAAAATTATTTATTAATTGATATAAAAAGAGGTTTTCAAAGAGTTTTTATAAAACTCTAACACAAATTACCTATTTATCTATTTTTTATGAGTTTTTTAATAAAAGAAAATCTAATTATACAAGAATTATTAATATAAAAAATATTTATTAATTGATAGAAAAAGAGTTTTTAAAAGAGTTTCTATTAAACTCTGACACAAATTACCTATTTATTTATTTATTATAAAATATTTATTAATTGATATAAAAAAGTTTTTATAAAAATAGTATTTATAAAACTCTAAAAATTACCTAATAAAATCAATCACAATAAAATATTTATTAATTGATATAAAAAGAATAGTTAACTTTTTTGGATAATTATCATAATATAACCGGTCCGACCCAGTTATGATTATGTCATTATTAGGAGATGACACATGTCGTCATCCTATTAATAGAAGAAACCTATAAATAGAGGTATGGAGGAAGGAGGAAGGAGGAAGGGGTATAGAAATTGAGAATTTTAGAAATCCAGAATTTCAGAGAAAAATTCAAAGGGGCTATAATGACCCTGCCATTTTTCTTTCTTCCCTTTTTTTTTTTTTTTTTTTTTTTTTTTTTTTTTTTTTTTTTTTTTTTTTACAGTGATTTCTTTCTTTCGTCCTTTTCCCTATTTCGCCTTTTTCCCGTTTATCATTTTTCTTTGCATAACCTCACTTTTTGTGATCGGATATGAGTCCGGCTTTGCATGAATCCATAATATTTGGTTTTCATGATATTTATATTTTTACTTTTATAGAAAATACATTCTTGTTGCTAACTCTTTTGTAAAAGGGCATAGATGCATACTTTATTGTAATTATTTTTGATTTTGGGTTTTAGTGTAATTATGTAAAATAATTATTTTTTGTCTTAGGGACCTTTTTGCAATTTAATTTTAAAAATATTTTGAAAAATGATTTTTTTGCAATTTTTGGAAAAAGTGACAAGTGTCACACTCTCATGGTGCCACTTGTTGGCAATGGGGTGGAGTGATTTGGATGCATAATCTTTTGACATTTGGAGGGAGGAGATTACCCACATGTTGGCCTAGGATTGGTGTACTTGTTGGCTTAGATGGTTGACAAGTGTAGACTTAAGATTAAGCCTATGAAGGAGCCATGGATTTGTGATAAGTGTAGGCTCACAAATTAGTCTTGCATTATGTGTGTGTGAGAGGTAGTATAAGAACATATAGTGAGTGGAGGATTTCTAGACCTTCCACTCACCATTTTCACTTTACCTTTCTCATTTTCTTTGTTCTTCAAAACCCTAACCTAGCCACCATTGGAGGAAAGCTTGGTTAATAGCTTATTCCTTCATTTTGGCCTCCGTCCACTCACCTAAGACCTTTAACCTTGGGAGACAAAAGTTTCCTCTCACTCTTCTCTTCATAACCTCTAGATTTGTTATCCATTTTGAGTTTGGTTGCTTGGGATTATAGAGATTCAATTCTCTATTGAGGTAGGGGTGGCAATATGTTTATATTTTGAGTGTTTTAAGTTCCTTGAGGTTTAATATATATTGTGTATATGCTTTTAATATGATAGTCTTATATATTATAAAAAACTCTCACTTCTTGACTTAGGGTTTATTGATTTAAGCATGTATGATATGTATTTACCTTGTGTAGAAGGATTATGTGATTTAGTAGTATACTAAATTCTAGAACTTTTACATGTAGTAATGATATATAATTCTTGTATAATTATCAATGTAATATACAATTCTTATTGTCTTGAATTGTTATATT